ACAGTGTTCTAAAACACAGTGTTCTAAAACACACAATGTTCTAAAACACACAGTGTTCTAAAACACACAGTGTTCTAAAACTCAGTGTTCTAAAACTCAGTGTTCTAAAACTCACAGTGTTCTAAAACACAGTGTTCTAAAACATACAGTGTTCTAAAACAGTGTTCTAAAACAGTGTTCTAAAAGACACAGTGTTCTAAAACACAGTGTTCTAAAACACAGTGTTCTAAAACCAGTGTTCTAAAAACAGTGTTTCTAAAACACAGTGTTCTAAAACACACAGTGTTTTAAACACAGTGTTCTAAAACACAGTGTTCTAAAAACACACAGTGTTCTAAAACACAGTGTTCTAAAACACAGTGTTCTAAAACACAGTGTTCTAAAACACAGTGTTCTAAAACACAGTGTTCTAAAACACCAGTGTTCTAAAACACAGTGTTCTAAAACACACAGTGTTAAAACTCACAGTGTTTAAAAAACACACAGTGTTCTAAAACTCAGTGTTCTAAAACACACAGTGTGTCTAAAACACACAGTGTTCTAAAACACACAGTGTTCTAAAATCAGTGTTCTAAAACACTCACAGGTTCTAAAACTCAGTGTTCTAAAACTCACAGTGTTCTAAAACACACAGTGTTCTAAAACAGTGTTCTAAAACACACAGTGTTCTAAAACACAGTGTTCTAAAACACACAGTGTTCTAAAACACAGTGTTCTAAAACACACAGTGTTCTAAAACTCACAGTGTTCTAAAACTCAGTGTTCTAAAACTCACAGTGTTCTAAAACACACAGTGTTCTAAAAAAAGTGTTCTAAAACACACAGTTTTTTCTAAAACACAGTGTTCTAAAACTCACAGTGTTCTAAAACTCAGTGTTCTAAAAAAACACAGTGTTTTTAAAACACACAGGGTTTTTTAAAACATACAGTGTTCTAAAACTCAGTGTTCTAAAACTCACAGTGTTCTAAAACACACAGTGTTCTAAAACACACAGTGTTCTAAAACACACAGTGTTCTAAAACTCACAGTGTTCTAAAACTCACAGTGTTCTAAAACACACAGTGTTCTAAAACACAAAAGTGTCTAAAACACACAGTGTTCTAAAACACACAGTGTTCTAAAACTCACAGTGTTCTAAAACACACAGTGTTCTAAAAAACACAGTGTTCTAAAACACACAGTGTTCTAAAACACACAGTGTTCAAAACACACATGTTCTAAAACACAGTGTTCTAAAACACACAGTGTTCTAAAACACACAGTGTTCTAAAGCACATAGTGTTCTAAAACGAAAGCCCCACTAAGGGGTTAAGTGGCGACCACCGCCCCTTTAACCCCACCAGTACTCACCACTAAGGGGTTAAGGGGTTACCACAACACCTTACCAGCACCAGTACCCACCACTAAGGGGTTACCACAACCCCTTACCAGCACCAGTACCCACCACTAAGGGGTTAAAGGGCGACCACAACCCCTTACCAGCACCAGTACTCACCACTAAGGGGATAAGGGGCGACCACAACCCCTTACCAGCACCAGTACCCACCACTAAGGGGTTACCACAACCCCTTACCAGCACCAGTACCCACCACTAAGGGGTTAAGGGGCGACCACAACACCTTACCAGCACCAGTACCCACCACTAAGGGGTTACCACAACCCCTTACCAGCACCAGTACCCACCACTAAGGGGTTAAGGGGCGACCACAACACCTTACCAGCACCAGTACCCACCACTAAGGGGTTACCACAACCCCTTACCAGCACCAGTACCCACCCCTAAGGGGTTAAGGGGCGACCACAACCCCTTACCAGCACCATACTCACCACTAAGGGGTTTTCCACAACCCCTTACCAGCACCATACCCACCACTAAGGGTTAAGGGCGACCACAACACCTTACCACACCCGTAACACCACCACTAGGGGTTTTAAGGGGCGACCACAACCCCTTACCAGCACCAGTACTCACCACTAAGGGGTTAAGGGGCGACCACCACCCCTTACCAGCACCAGTACTCACCACTAAGGGGTTAAGGGGCGACCACCACCCCTTACCAGCACCAGTACTCACCACTAAGGGGTTAAGGGGCGACCACCACCCCTTAGTACCACACTTCACAGTCATAATGGAAGCCAAACATTTTAAATTATCAGTAATAATTAAGACTGTAACATTAACAACTTTCTTTCTCTATAAAAATTCCGTCAACTTTCTCTTTACAAAATGTATATAGATCTGATTATGTCTAATTTTTATACTCTATATAAACGATTATTTTCTAGAAATATAAAATTATTCAGAATTTATATAAGGAGTCAGACATATATATATATATATATATATATATATATATTATATATATATATATATAATATATATATATATATATATATATATATATATAATATATAATCTCAAATGTCAGTCGTTCCCTAAAGTGTAAAGTTGACCGTTAAAAGAGAGTTCTTTAACCGTGACTCACTGAATACCTTTCTTGCTAGATTATGTTTATTATCAGCAGACATTGCTCTCAGAAATGACCTCTCCATTGCCTTCAGTCTCCTCCTCCTTGCTGCAACGTTTAAAACCCATGTTTCACCCCCATACAACAGTGTTGGTACTGTTATTCTCTCATACAGACGCCTCAGTGCATCACTTGTCTTTTTCCCTTTTGTTTTGTGGTATATTTTATTTTTCACAAACTTATCTATCAACAAATTCACTCCCAAATATCTGAATACATTCACCTTCTCCATACTCTCTCCCTCCAATCTAATATCCAATTTTTCGTTACTTAATTTTATCATCTTACTCTTTCCTATATTAACTTTTAATTTTCTTCTCCTACATACCCTACCAAATTCGTCAACCAACTTCTGCAACTTCTATTCAGAATCTCCCAAAAGCACAGTGTCATCAGCAAAGAGCAACTGTGACAATTCCCACTTTGTGTTAGATTATTTATCTTTTAACCCCACACTTCTTGCCAACACCCCAGCATTCACTTCTCTTACAACTCCATCTATAACTATACTGAACAACCCTGGTGACACATTCTTGTCTAAGGCCTACTTTTACTGGGAAATAATCTGCCTCTCGCCTACATATTCTAACCTAAGCCGTAAAGACTCCAACTATTCCATACACCTGCAACATCTGCCACACTGGCTTCCCTATCCACCTTGTTATATGCCTTTTACAAACCCATAAATACAACAAAAACTTGCTTATCCATGTCTAAATACTGTTCACTTGTATGTTTCACTGTTGACCCTTTGTTTACCTTCTCGTTCATGCTTCGTTGTAAAAATTTGGTCTTCAAATCCCTTCCTAAATCCTGCTTTATCCTCTATCATCCTGTTCTCTCTCTCTTACCTATAATTCCTTCAATAATAACGCCACCACACACTCTACCTGTTATTCTCAACGGTATTATACCCCTATAATTCTTACACCCTCCTTTGTCCTCTTCTACCTTTATACATTGGTACTGTGTCCCTTTTACCCTTATACAATGGTACTGGGTCCTCTTCTCCCCTTGAACAATGGTACTCAATATACTCTCTCTTGATCCCTTCATTCATACACACATACTGAAGATATACAGCATCCATACACATAGTATTGTGTACTTTGCAAGACACACAGGCAACAGTTACGCATCTGTATTGTGAAACCTTTCTCCAGTCGAGTGCAGAAAGTAGGCAGAAGCAGCCTACTATGCAGGCGAAACGTTACGGAATAACTGTTACCTGTGTGTCGTGCCTCTGTCTGTACCATTTGGATTCTCACTGTTTCAGAATGTTGGAACCAATTGTCCATCTGTCTTGAGGTCGCGTACACTATTTTGAGATATTCTGTGGTATATCTTAATCCCAGCTGCCATAGCTGGTTTATGATCCCAGCTACCACAGCTGGTTTATGATCCCAGCTGCCACAGCTGGTTTATGATCCCAGCTACCACAGCTGGTTTATGATCCCAGCTGCCACAGCTGGTTTATGATCCCAGCTACCACAGCTGGTTTAAGACCCCAGCTGCCACAGCTGGTTTATGACCCCAGCTGCCACAGCTGGTTTATGACCCCAGCTGCCACAGCTGGTTTATGATCCAGCTACCACAGCTGGTTTATGATCCAGCTGCCACAGCTGGTTTATGATCCCAGCTGCCACAGCTGGTTTATGATCCCAGCTGCCACAGCTGGTTTAAGACCCCAGCTGCCACAGCTGGTTTATCACTGCCTCACACACTGTTCCACCTGGTTTATCACTGCCTCACACACTGTTCCACCTGGTTTATCACTGCCTCACATACCTCCCTCACACTCATATATATTACCTATTCTAACGTCTCCCCTCGTTTACTCATTAATCCCCCTCATCACTCGTTAAACCTCCCTCATCATTCTTAAACCTGCCTACTCGTTAAACCTCCCTAATCTCTCAAACCTCCCTCATCACTCGTTAAACCTTCCTAATGGCTCGTTAAACCTCCCTCATCACTCATTAACCCTCCCTATCACTCGTTAACCTCCCTATAGATACACTTTATATATATATTATATAATATATATATATATATATATATATATATATATATATATATAATATATATATATATATAATATATATATATAATTTTTATAGTTTATCTAATGCACTATGTATATATTATTCACGTTTAACAAATTAACGAAAAACTATATTTTCCCATTTGCAGAATTTGCTTTTAAAAAAATGGAGGGTTTGGGGTCTGGGAAGTCGAAAATTTTCTGTTGGCTCCCTTAGAAAAAAGGCCGCAACAACCACCCATTGAGGACTAATTGCACTTACCTGTTGCCACTGATTGCCATTGCAATAGCATCATGCGGAGAAAGAGGTGTACGTGCCTCGTAACTCAAAAATTCCCATTGTTTTTTGGTCTCTCCCATGCCTTCCACCCTTAATTTGAAAAAATTGAAAATCTTTCACACATGGAGGTAAATGTAGGTCTATATAATTAAAATTTTTGATTTTTATTGTAGAAGGCTAACAATGGGCCATCGTAGGTACAGAGAGTAATTAAATGTATGGTAATTACGTTTAAAAATGGCAGACAGGATGGAAAATTTTGAAAGGTACTGAAAAGGGCATAAACACAAGGTGAATCGATACAAATGGGTTCCAGTAGATACCAGTGGGTGCCAGTGGATACCAGTGGGTGCCAGTGGCCACCAGTGGGTGCCAATGGATACCAGTGGTTACCAATATAAACCAATAAGAACCAATGGGAGCCAGTGAGAGCCCAAAGGCCCCAGACCCAACACAAGAAGAACGACCCATCACTAACGCAAGTAACAACTCATTACCCCGGGCAGTTACCATTGTTAACCTTCTGTGTGATAGGGCAGTTAACATTTCTAACAAAATATATCGGGTGAAATTAGTATACAAAAGTACAAAAACCCTATATACAATTTATGTTGTGGCTGGGATACAGATTATGTATTGGCTGGGATACAGTCTATGTAGTGGCTGGCAGATTCAATTCTTTCTAGCAATGATGTTGACGAACTCTGGAGAACAGGAGAGAGACAGAGATTAGTATTATTGTGACTTGATGAATACAACACAGGTACAACACCTAGGTGTCTTTATTGATGAATAAGACACATGTACAACACCTAGGTGTCTTTATTGATGAATAAGGCACGTGTACAACACCTAGGTGTCTTTATTGATGAATAAGACACATGTACAACACCTGGGTGTCTTTATTGATGAATAAGACACATGTACAACACCTAGGTGTCTTTATTGATGAATAAGGCACGTGTACAACACCTAGGTGTCTTTATTGATGAATAAGACACATGTACAACACCTGGTGTCTTTATTGATGAATAAGACACATGTACAACACCTGGGTGTCTTTATTGATGAATAAGACACATGTACAACACCTGGTGTCTTTATTGATGAATAAGACACATGTACAACACCTGGTGTCTTTATTGATGAATAAGACACATGTACAACACCTGGGTGTCTTTATTGATGAATAAGACACATGTACAACACCTGGGTGTCTTTATTGATGAATAAGACACATGTACAACACCTGGGTGTCTTTATTGATGAATAAGACACATGTACAACACCTGGGTGTCTTTATTGATGAATAAGACACATGTACAACACCTGGGTGTCTTTATTGATGAATAAGACACATGTACAACACCTGGGTGTCTTTATTGATGAATAAGACACATGTACAACACCTGGGTGTCTTTATTGATGAATAAGACACATGTACAACACCTAGGTGTCTTTATTGATGATAAGACACATGTACAACACCTAGGTGTCTTTATTGATGAATAAGACACATGTACAACACCTAGGTGTCTTTATTGATGAATAAGACACATGTACAACACCTGGGTGTCTTTATTGATGAATAAGACACATGTACAACACCTGGGTGTCTTTATTGATGAATAAGACACATGTACAACACCTAGGTGTCTTTATTGATGAATAAGACACATGTACAACACCTAGGTGTCTTTATTGATGAATAAGACACATGTACAACACCTAGGTGTCTTTATTGATGAATAAGACACATGTACAAAACCTGGGTGTCTTTATTGATGAATAAGACACATGTACAGCACCTAGGTGTCTTTATTGATGAATAAGACACATGTACAACACCTGGGTGTCTTTATTGATGAATAAGACATGTGCAACACCTGGGTGTCTTTATTGATGAATAAGACACATGTGCAACACCTGGGTGTCTTTATTGATGAATAAGACACATGTACAACACCTGGGTGTCTTTATTGATGAATAAGACACATGTGCAACACCTGGGTGTCTTTATTGATGAATAAGACACATGTACAACACCTGGGTGTCTTTATTGATGAATAAGACACATGTACAACACCTGGGTGTCTTTATTGATGAATAAGACACATGTACAACACCTGGGTGTCTTTATTGATGAATAAGACACATGTACAACACCTGGGTGTCTTTATTGATGAATAAGACACATGTACAACACCTGGGTGTCTTTATTGATGAATAAGACACATGTACAACACCTGGTGTCTTTATTGATGAATAAGACACATGTACAACACCTGGGTGTCTTTATGATGAATAAGACACATGTACAACACCTGGGTGTCTTTATTGATGAATAAGACACATGTACAACACCTGGTGTCTTTATTGATGAATAAGACACATGTACAACACCTGGGTGTCTTTATTGATGAATAAGACACATGTACAACACCTAGGTGTCTTTATTGATGAATAAGACACATGTACAACACCTAGGTGTCTTTATTGATGAATAAGACACATGTACAACACCTAGGTGTCTTTATTGATGAATAAGACACATGTACAACACCTGGGTGTCTTTATTGATGAATAAGACACATGTACAACACCTGGGTGTCTTTATTGATGAATAAGACACATGTACAACACCTAGGTGTCTTTATTGATGAATAAGACACATGTACAACACCTGGGTGTCTTTATTGATGAATGACACATGTACAACACCTGGGTGTCTTTATTGATGAATAAGACACATGTACAACACCTGGGTGTCTTTATTGATGAATAAGAACATGTACAACACCTGGGTGTCTTTATTGATGAATAAGACACATGTACAACACCTGGGTGTCTTTATTGATGAATAAGACACATGTACAACACCTGGGTGTCTTTATTGATGAATAAGACACATGTACAACACCTGGGTGTCTTTATTGATGAATAAGACACATGTACAACACCTGGGTGTCTTTATTGATGAATAAGACACATGTACAACACCTGGTGTCTTTATTGATGAATAAGACACATGTACAACACCTGGGTGTCTTTATTGATGAATAAGACACATGTACAACACCTGGGTGTCTTTATTGATGAATAAGACACATGTACAACACCTAGGTGTCTTTATTGATGAATAAGACACATGTACAACACCTGGGTGTCTTTATTGATGAATAAGACACATGTACAACACCAGGGTGACTTTATTGATGAATAAGACACATGTACAACACCAGGGTGACTTTATTGATGAATAAGACACATGTACAACACCAGGGTGACTTTATTGATGAATAAGACACATGTACAACACCTGGGTGTCTTTATTGATGAATAAGACACATGTACAACACCTAGGTGTCTTTATTGATGAATAAGACACATGTACAACACCTAGGTGTCATTGATGAATAAGACACATGTACAACACCTATGTGTCTTTATTGATGAATAAGACACATGTACAACACCTAGGTGTCATTATTGATGAATAAGACACATGTACAACACCTAGGTGTCTTTATTGATGAATAAGACACATGTACAACACCTGGGTGTCTTTATTGATGAATAAGACACATGTACAACATGTGTCTTATTCATCTACTGAATGGAAAATTGATTATTATTAAAGCAGCCTTAATTTATTTTCATGATACTTTCAATAAAAACCTATAATGTATGAGTATAATCTATGATGTATGAGTATAATCTATGATGTATGAGTGTATTCTATATTGTATTATACATTCAAACCCACGTGGAGTAAAATTTTTGATATTTTGATAATAAAATAATTTATTTGTGGAGTAAATTCTCCAGTAGGGGGGGTATCTCTCAGCTCTCTCAGCCCCCTTCAGCCCCTGAGGGACTCAGCCCTCCTGGAAGAGGGCTAATGGACTCTCTTCCTCATAAACAGATTAACTGGATCCATGTGTTGTACCAGCATCTTGGTCACGCCATCCTCTCCTTGCTAGAGATCGGTTTTAATTGCAACTACAAATGACAGTTAAAGGAGAAACCTGCACCCACTTTATCTACAATTTGAGACTATTATGAATTGTAGTCTATAGCTAGATAACATTAAATCCGCCATCTTGTATTGAAAACTGTGACGATGTTTAGCAAGGAGAGATATCACACTGAGTTCAGCATATCGTACTAGAGACGCCTGAGGAGCGAGGGGGCAGGGTGCTGTGGAGCTCAGATTGCTTCAAGGAATGCATGAGAAACATGTGTCGTGAGTGCGATGCCTCAAGACAAAGGGACAGTAGTGACTAGAAAAGTCAATACAATTCCCAGGATATTTGTGGTAGAACTAATTACGCAGTGTTATTATGTATCCGTGTTCTTCCCGTTGTGGATAATACCACGAAAGTATGAACAAATGATGGAACTGAGTAGTGTAGTGTAACCGATAGCGAGTGATTGCAAAATTCCTGACGTAGTGGTGAAGAGTGCAATATTCTACGAGGCACTCGAGCCTTCACTCCAATCAAATCACCGATATCGGTCTTAATGGTGCTGTCAACACCATAGCTTGTGTTACACAAGCAAGGTTAAACTTAATATCTTGTAATGCAACTTAACTGCAGTTTTGGGCTGACTCAGGGGATTTGGGCTGTCCTTTACAAAGCCATGAGGTATGGGCTTTTGAGCCCAAACCAAGTGTTTCAGATGAAATTCTGAAATATTCGCTCCTTTGGGACAAATATATATTAATACTCGTTATTCTATAGCTCAGGTGTGGGGATGCCATGACCTGGTGGCCTGACTGGCAAAGGTCTCGCTTCACACACGGAGGGACAGGGTTTGATTCCCGGTGGGGTAGAAACATTTCAACACGTTTCCTCACACCTGTTGTCCTGTTCATCTAGCAGCAAATAGGTACCTTGGTGTTAGTCAACTGGTGTGAGTGGCATCCTGGGGGACAAGATTCAGGACCACAATGGAAATAAGTCAGACAGTCCTCGATGATGCACTGACTTTCTCGAGTTATCCTGGGTGACTAACCCTCTGGGGTTAAAAATCTGAATGAAATCGTATCTCCCGAAGGAGACTCCTTGAATGAGGCTGCAGGAAATCTGTATCATAGAAGCTATGTATATTTCATTTCGTGTCGTAAATATAGACTTGGCTGGTAAAATTCTCCACAGCTTTATTCAAGACTGAAAAATGAATTAGAAAATACTTACTGCTGTACAATAAGGAGAAATATGTATAATTAGCAGGAATTAATTTTCATTTAAGAAAATCCCTGAGGTCTTTTGTTTTTAATACCAGTTCTCAGGACCACTTATTCTCAATACTGGTATTACATGGTAGACAGTTGTCTTAGAAACCCACTGTCTCCTCCTGGTTAAAGGTTGGTGACTCATGGTTCCCTCACAATAAAGGTCCTTCTCTACATAGTTACCTTTAGTGTCATGTTGAAGGGACAAGGAATTCTTATTAATCTTGCGTCTTACCTTTAAAATTAATAATAAGAACAATACTATTACTACTACTGCTAGTACTACTAGTACTACTACTACTACTACTACCACTACTACTATTTACCTTCATAATTAACCCTGCCATCACTGTTGGGGGCGGCTTCCTTTATCATATCTTCAACTTCCTGCTCTGACATCTTCTCACCCATGCTGGTCATAACATGGCGGAGTTCAGTCGACGACAGATACCCAGAGTTCTTCTTGTCAAACACCCTGCAAAATGGGGTTGATGTCAGCGACTTATGATTTTTGGTTGAGTTGTTGGGTGGAATGATAGAAAAATAATGATTTTTGGATGGAAAACTGTGAAAACAGGGTTTAGATTCTTTTGAAAGTCTAGTTGGGACTGTAATAAAATAGAAAATCAGCCTTCTCACACAATATCACAAAATATATATATATAAAATTATTATATAAAATATATATATATATAATATATATATATATATAATATATATATAATATAAATATATATATATATATAATATATAAATATATATATATATATATATATATAATAATATATATATATATATATATATATATATATATATAAATATATATATATAAATATATATATATATAATATATATATATATATATATATATAGTTTTACCAACGCTCTTATATGGGTGTGAAGCATGGGTGATGAATGTTGCAGCGAGGAGAAGGCTGGAGGCAGTGGAGATGTCATGTCTGAGGGCAATGTGGGTGTGAATATAATGCAGAGAATTCGTAGTTTGGAAGTTAGGAGGAGGTGCGGGATTACCAAAACTGTTGTCGAGAGGGCTGAGGAAGGGTTGTTGAGGTGGTTCGGACATGTAGAGAGAATGGAGCGAAACAGAGTGACTTCAAGAGTGTATCAGTCTGTAGTGGAAGGAAGGCGAGGTAGGGGTCGGCCTAGGAAAGGTTGGAGGGAGGGGTAAAGGAGGTTTTGTGTGCGAGGGGCTTGGACTTCCAGCAGGCGTGCGTGAGCGTGTTTGGTAGGAGTGAATGGAGACAAATGGTTTTTAATACTTGACGTGCTGTTGGAGTGTGAGCAAAGTAACATTTATGAAGGGGTTCAGGGAAACCGGCAGGCCGGACTTGAGTCCTGGAGATGGGAAGTACAGTGTCTGCACTCTGAAGGAGGGGTGTTAATGTTGCAGTTTAAAAACTGTAGTGTAAAGCACCCTTCTGGCAAGACAGTGATGGAGTGAATGATGGTGAAAGTTTTTCTTTTCGGGCCACCCTGCCTTGGTGGGAATCGGCCGTGTGATAATAAAAAAATAATAAAAATATATATATATATATATATAATATATATATATATATATATAATATATTATATATATATATTATATAATATATATAAACACTGCGACTAGCCATGGATTCGAACCCATATTGTTTTAGCCCTGCCTCATGTTGAGCCAAAATCACATGATGCTTAGCCCACAGGACCACACAATCCTACAAGAATCAAGCACCCAGCAGAGCTAGATGTTTTACCTTGATCCGAGGGCAATTTTATTATACTCCCCGTTTGGTGTACTAGCCTCCACAAGCAGTATTTATATTATTGTGACCACAAACGAGTGGTATTGAGTCAATAACAACACTGCGACTAGCCGAGGATTCAAACTCATTTAATTTTGGCCCTGCCTCATGGTAAGAGAAAATCACATGATGCTCTAACCCACTGATTCTTGTATGATTGTGTGGTTCAGTGGGTTAGAGCATCACCACGAGGCAGGGCCAAAACGACATGGGTTCGAATCCTCCGCTAGTGGCAGTGTTGTTATTGACTCAATACCAGTCATTAATGGTCACAATAATATAAATACTACTTGTGGAGGCTAGTACATGAACGGAGATTAGAATCAAATTAGCTCAGAGGTACCCACACCACCGTATGTCCACGGATCAAGGTAAGACACCTAGCTCTACTGGGTGCTTGAATCTTGTAGGATTTTGTGGTTCACTGGGTTATAGCGTCATGTGGTTTTTGCTCACCACAATAGTATAATTGCTANCTTTAAGACTAGTACACTAAAGGGTAGGGCATAGAGTAAAGACAAGCCGTTTGGAGCTCTAGAGACCGCTCAACCCCTATGCCGTATGTTTCTTGGCTATGTTTGGTAAAACACTACCATCTGCTGGGCTGCGTAATCTTTAAGAACTTCACGTGTGCTGTGGGGTTAAAAGCTCATGTGGTCTACTCACAATAGGCTCATTACTTAAGATTTGGTTCATGATTGTAGCCATGTCATTAACGTAAGTAACATTTTACAGATTCATAACCTTTGGTAACCTTGTGAGTTCATTACCTTTGTACCTAGTTCAGCTATCAAAACTTTGGGGGCCCAGTCCCTGGACCCATTACGTACCTCTGTAATCTGTAAATACCTTTGTAACTTCATGATTGTGACCAACCTACCTGGAGTTCATTACCTTTGTAAATTGTGAGTTCATTACCTCTGTAACTTGCTCAGCTATCAAAACTCTGGAGTCCAGTCCCTGGACCCATTATGTACCTCTGTAATCTTTTGACTACCGCCCACAGGATGGGTATGGTGTGCATAAACATTAAACTAAACTAAACAATAGGCGTGCCAGTACAGCATGAGTTCGAGTCCTTGCCTAGTGCAGTGCTATTATTGATCAATACCACTCGTTCGTAGTTACAATATTATATATATATATATATATATATATATATATATATATATATATATATATATATATATATATATATATATATGTCGTGCCGAATAGGCAGAACTTGCGATCTTGGCTTAAATAGCAACGCTCATCTTGCCATATAGGACAAGTGAAAATTTGTGTATGCAATAATTTCGCCAAAATCATTCTGAACCTAACGAAAAAAAATATATTTGATTGTGTTTGTTTAGTACTAAATTATGGTAAACGTATTTAAAATATATTAGTTGGGTTAGGCTAAAATAAATTGCTCTTGTTATAATAAGGTTAGGTAAGTTTTCTAAGTTTTTTTGGCGCATTATTAAAAATTTTTATATTAACATTAATGAAAAAAATATATCTTTAAACGTATAAGAGAAAATTTCAGAAAGGACTTAATTTTAAATGAGTTCTTGCTAATTGACCAGTTTTACATATTCGGCACGACATATATATATATTTTATATATATATATATATATATATATATATATATATATATATATATATATATATATATATATATATATATATATAAGATATACATATTAAGGAAATATAGAGGAAAAACATACACCAATATTCGCACAGTAGTTGTTTACTCACTTAAAAGCTTCCTTGAGTTCATCTTCATTACCAATATCCTTCAGTTTTTTGCTCATCATTTGAAGGAACTCGTTGAACTCAATGGTACCATCGGCGCACGTTTCGACCTCTCCCACGAGCTTCCTCAACTCTGTTTCTGTAATGGGTTTTTTCTCGTTACTTCCTAAAAAGATTTTTTTTATTCTGGTGTTATATCTTTGGTTTTCTCGCTCAGTTGTGACATGACAATGGGTTCAGGATTGAGCGAAACGTTGCTTTTGTGGTTTAGGATGGACCAAAATGGTGTTTTAATGAGATTTGTGGTCCAGAAGGGATGAAAAGTTTGTTTTAACGGGATTTGATGTCCACAATGGTTCGAAACATCTTTATAACAGGAATTTTGGTTTACAATAGATCGAAACGTCATTTAAATCTATGTATTGTAGTTCAGAATGTATCGACACGTTTTAATTGGTGATTTATGGTCCAGAATGGACAGAAACGTCGTTTTGACGTTTTTTCCAGAATGGTTCAAAACATCGTTTTATTGGGACTTTTGGTAACCGAGAGACACATGTCGGAGAAAAACGTGTCAGAGAGAAATGTGTCGGAGACAAATGTGTTGGAGAGAAACGTGTCAGAGAGAAACGTGTGAGAGAGAAACGTGTTAAAGAGCGAAAATTTCACTTTAGAGAACAACATTTACCTGATGGGCAAAAATTACCTGATGGGCAAAAATTTACCTGATGGGCAAAAATTTATCTGATGGGCAAAAATTTACCTGATGGGCAAAAATTTACCTGATGGGCAAAAATTACCTGATGGGCAAAAATTTACCTGATGGGCAAAAATTTATCTGATGGGCAAAAATTTACCTGATGGGCAAAAATTTACCTGATGGGCAAAAATTTACCTGATGGACAAAAATTTACCTGATGGGCAAAAATTTACCTGATGGGAAAAATTTACCTGATGGGCAAAAATTTACCTGATGGGCAAAAAATTACCTGATGGGAAAAATTTACCTGATGGGCAAAAATTTACCTGATGGGCAAAAATTTTACTTAATGGGCAAAATTTTATCTGATGGACAAAAATTACCTCGTCGAAAAAACCTGATGAGCAAAAAATACCTGAGGGGCAAAAATTTTCCTGATGGGCAAATTTCTTTTACCTGATTGTCACAATTTTACCTGATAGTAAATTTTTTACCCGATTGTCAAAATTGTACCCAATTCCTTCAATTTTTACCTGATTGTCAAAATTTTTACACAATTATCAAAATTTTTAACCTGATTGTGAGAAATTCTAGCTGATTGTCATTTTTTTTACCTGATTGTCAGTTTTTCTTTACCAGAGTATCAAATTTTTTACCTGATTGTCAAAATTTTGACCTGAATGTTAAAATTTTGACCTGGTGGTTAAAATTAACCTGGTAGTCAAAAATTTTACCTATTGGTCAAAATTTTGACCTGAAGGTTAAAATTTTGACCTGGTGGTTAAAATTAACCTGGTAGTCAAAAATTTTACCTATTGGTCAAAATTTTGGCCAGGTTAAAATTTTGACCTGGTGGTTAAAATTAACCTGGTAGTCAAAAATTTTACCTGTTGGTCAAAATTTTGACCTGAAGGTTAAAATTTTGACCTGATGGTTAAAATTAACCTGGTAGTCAAAAATTTTATCTATTGGTCAAAATTTTGACCTGAAGGTTAAAATTTTGACCTGATGGTTAAAATTAACCTGGTAGTCAAAAATTTTACCTATTGGTCAAAATTTTGACCTGAAGGTTAAAATTTTGACCTGGTGGTCAAAATTTTGACCTGATGGTCAAAATTTTGACCTGATGGTCAAAATTTTGAGGTGAATGTGGAAATATTTACCAGATGGTCGCTGCCCCAGGGATCTCATGACAACTCCAAGTTCAGCTGTAGTAATCATTCCATCTTCATCTTTGTCGAATAACATAAATGCTTCTTTGAACTCAGCTACCAGGTCGTCAGTCAACCCATACTCCACCTGCAGGGCATCAATGTGACATCAATATGACGTCAATGTGACAAAGACCACGTGAACAGAATATTGTGACAGTGTGACACAGAGTGATCAGAACGTTGTGACAGTGTGACACAGAGTGATCAGAACGTTGTGACAGTGTGACACAGAGTGATCAGAACGTTGTGACAGTGTGACACAGTGATCAGAACGTTGTGACAGTGTGACACAGAGTGATCAGAACGTTGTGACAGTGTGACACAGAGTGATCAGAACGTTGTGACAGTGTGACACAGAGTGATCAGAACGTTGTGACAGTGTGACACAGAGTGATCAGAACGTTGTGACATCAATGTGATATAGATCACGTGAACACAACACTGTGATGTCAATGAGAACATAAATAGTATAACATCAGCGTGGCAAACCATGTAAACACGACATTGTGACGTCAATGTAGCATAAATGAGGACATCAATGTGACATTGACGAGGACAACAGTGTGGCGTGAATGAAGACATCAATATGACATCACTGACCTAACATGTTATATAATCACGTTCGAGACGGACTTAACAGGATGCTATATACGTTGACGTTCACGACGGGCATACCATGATGTTCAGTTTGGAGACTCAAGTCGAACATAACCAGAACAACACGAGAGTTTGTACAGTCCATAATTTGAGGACTCAATTACGTTTCTTTCCATTATTGAACTGTTGGGTACAATTATCTGGGCGGCAGCCCACCCCAGAGGGTGATTGTATATTGCATTCGACACCTGGCCTATCCTGATTGAGTACTGATGTTGTGATAATCTGGTTTCTAGTGGTTTACCTGTCTGACCAATGTATGAGAGTGAGCAGAGAGTGCACGGGACCTTGTAAACACCACCCACATTATTACGTGGTGTATTATTAACCAATCTCTGTTTCACTGTCCTAGTGTTTTGGAAAGTAAGGGTTATGTTGAATTTTTGTAGTGCCTCACACAGGCAGAACAAATTATCGTTGTATAGTAAGACCAATATATTTTCCCTGGAAGACGTTTCCTTAGGTACGGGTATTGTAAGGTTACAGGTGCTCTAGGTGGTGTGCTGCAATAACAGACTCCAACCTCAGTAACATTAGTGAGGAAGTAGTCATAGGGGTTTATTTGGGTATGGGTGCGCATATACAATTTGGGATAACCCAAAAAAGAGGCAGAGTGACCTATTGAGATCTTAACCCATTTAGGTACAGTGACCCAAGGTACACATAGTTGATTGCAACATGGTGTTTGCAATTAGTTTAGTGGTTTATTGAATTAGGTAGTTAGTAATATAATAATGATAATAGCCGCATTACAAAGAAATTCAGGAATTGCCTAGTTATTATAAGGGAGAAAAATCTGAATAATCGAGATCGTACAGACATATTGGTGCTGAGAATATTATCTGAATATTCTAGAAAGTTCTGGGACATCAGGTATTACCTGACATTTATACCTTTTATTTCATCAGTTCCGGATCAGCCGGGCTGTGGCTCGTACGTTGGTTTGCGTGCAGCCAGCAGCAACAGCTGGTTGATCAGGCTCTGATCCACCAGGAGGCCTGGTCACAGACCGGGCCGCGGGGGCGTTGACCCCCGGAACTCTCTCCAGGTAAACTCCAGGTATGTTAGAAGATTGTACACAATAACTGCATTGTGTATGTGGATGATCCACTGTTGTAACCTAACTTCTTACGTCACATAACCTGATCCCAGCAGTTAGAGGCTTAGGACTGGCTATTACTATCTCCTAGTTACTATATCTTATGTTATCTACAAACTGTGGGGTGGGGTGGGGTAGGCCTCCCTACCCCCACCCTATTTGGGGTGGGGTGGGGGGTACCGGTGGTGGCTGGCATTCATCCGGGCTTCCCCTCTCTCAGAGATCTGGCTGGTGCCACTCACGCTACCATATTCTGAAAAAACTTCCCCTCATTTTCTCCGGTTGTTGCCCTTGCAACAATGCACAGCTCCTGATGACGCACTGAGAAGTGTGAAAGTACTTCAGCTTAAGATTTCCACCCCTCGTGACTTGTCTTGCATATATATACACAGGAAAGAAACATGATTTGTGCACCAGGCTACCCAGCTTTTGAGGCATTTGTGGCTGAGTGAATCACAACGCTGCCTGGGAACCTTGCACGTCTCTCAGTAGCAGTAGTGAACCCTCTTGATTATTTTTCCCTGTATAACCCCCCTTCTTTCTACGTGGTGCATATATGCTTAACAATTCGTAAACAGGCGATATTGTTTACATTGTCTCTACGTCCACAGCAGGACTCGAACCTGCTGTGTATCAAAAATAACTTTCGAAACGAGCTTGGTGCCCGGGGGTATGGGGAAACATCGCTTAGCTTCGGCTAAGCGCCCATACTTATCGCGGGTCTAGCTCTGTGGTAAAGTACTGTGGACTCTGATACAGAGTTAGCAGGTTCGAGTCCTGCTGTGGACGTAGAGACAATGTTAATATATATATATATATATATATATATATATATATATATATAAATATATATATATATATATATATATAAACACACACATACACCTGGAGTCTTCCTCGAGGGTGTTCCAGGGATCAACTCCCCTGCCGCCAGTCCCTGACAAGGCCTCCCGTTGGATCAAGGAATGATCACTAGGCTGTTATTGCTGGCCACATGTAGTCCAAAGTATGAACCACAGCCTGGCTGGTCAGGTACTAGCTTTAAGTATCTGTCCAGCTCCTTCTTGAAGACAGCCAGGAATCTATTGGTAACTCCTCTTACGTATGCTGGGAGGCAGTTGAACAGTCTTGGGCTCCTGACACTTTTTGTGTTTTCTCTTAGTATACTAATGGCGCCCCTACTTTTCATTGGGGACGTGTTGCACTGTCTGCCCTGTCTTTTGCTCTCACAGGGAGTGATTTCTATATGAATATTTGGGACCAACTCCTCTAGGATTTTCCAGGTGTAGATTATGATGTATCTCTCGCCTACGCTCCAGTGAGTACAAGTCAAGTGGTTCCAGGTGTTCACAGTAAATAAGGTGTTTAACAGAACTTATATGTACAGTAAAGGTTCTCTGTACATTCTCTTGATCTGTGACTTCACCTGCCTTGAATGGATATGTTAGTGTACAGCAATATTCCAGTCTAGAGAGAACAGGTGACTTAAAAAGGATCAGCATTGGCTTGGGATCTCTTGTTTTGAAGGTTCTCGTTATTCATCCTATCATTTTCCTCGCAGATTTGGTAATGACACTGTTGTGATCCTATAGACTAGATCCTCTGACATTAACACTCCCAGGTCATTCATACTACTTTTCCTCTCTATAGTGTGATTAGAGTTTGTGGTATACTCAGTTCTAATTATCTCCTCCAGTTTTCCATAACGGAGCAGTTGGAATTTGTCTTCATTAATCATATTGTTTTCCGTTGTCCATTGGAAAACTTGGTAAATGTCTTCTTGGAGGTTAACCGCGTCCTCAATAAATGACAGTCTCGTGCAGATCCTAGTATCGTCTGCAAAGGATGACACGGTGCTATGGTTTACATCTCTATGTCTGATATGAGAATGAGGAACAGGATGAGGGCGAGTACTGTGCCTTGTGGGACTCAGCTTTTCACTGTAACCGCCAATGGCCTTTGCTTACTGTTACTCTGTGTTCTATATGTTAGTAAGATGAAGATTCTTCTATCCGCTTTTCCTGATATTCCTTTATCACGTATTTTGTGCACTATTCAACGATGATCGCACTTGTCAAAGGCTTTTGCAAAACCTGTGTATACTACATTTGCATTTTGTTTGCTTTCCAGTGCATCCAAGACCATGTCATAGTGGTCCAGTAGCTGTGAGAGGCAGGAGTGACCTGTTCTAAACCCACACTGCCCTCAGTTGTACAGTTGTTGGGTATCCAAGTGGTTTGTGATCATTCTTCTTAGACATTAGAGCTATTGGTCTATAGTTCTTAGCTATTTACTGCCACCCTTGTAGAGTGAGGCTATATCCGTAGTTTTTAGTGATTGTGGGATGAGACCCATGTCTATGCTTCCTCTCCATTGCATACTTAATTAAGGCATGTACACAAGGTTTCTTGCAGTTCTTAATGAACATGGAGTTGCATGAGTCTGGGCTTGGAGCTGAGTGCATGGTCATGTTGTCAATGACTGTTTTAAAGTCCGGTGGAGTTAGGGTTATGTCAGAAAATTGGTAAACATTGACAGTGTTTTAAGGCTCATTCACGAAAAAATCATTTGGATTGTCGATCTTTAGACTGATTATGTCTAGGTAAACAGAGTCGTATTGAGACCTCGGTATCCCACTCATTTCTTTGTCATCATCTGGCATATGAAAAGAAATATTTTTAATTTTTTTTCGATTTCTTGTATCTCCTGTCAGTCCTGGATCCTGTATGAATCATTCAACTTAAGCTCAATATTTTCCACTTCCATGGTCAGCACTGCCTTCCGTGTTTCAGATAATTTAACTCCCTTGAGAGGTCAGTGATTCTTCGTCCTCTCTTGTAGAGGGAGCCTCTCTCTCTCTCTCCAGTTTACTTCTTTTTTCTTATGGGAATATACTTGAGCATACTTCAGCGGCCAGAAAGTTGATCCTTTCAAGGCACAGGTTAGGGTCCATGTTATTTAAGATATCTTCCCAAAAAGTTTTATTTAGGTAATAGTTTACCTGATCCCAGTTAGGAGAGAGCTAGATAGATAGGTAGATAAAAGGATAGGTAATTAGATAGATAAATAGAAAACTAGACTGATTGATGAATAGCAAGATAGAATGATAGCCAGATAGACATATTAAAAGGGTAACTAAAACATAAGATAACCATATTAAAGGGTAACTAAAGTATAATCCACAAACTAACCAGAGGGGTAACTAAAGTATAATCCACACTCACCAGAGGGGTAACTAAAGTATAATCCTCACTCATCACAGGGGTAACTAGAGTATTATTCACACTCACCAGAGGGGTAACTAAAGTATAATCCACACTCACCAGAGG